TGAAAGTTAAACTGCCATGATACCTGCTTTTGCAACTTTAAATTAGAAAAAGAAACAACTAAGCTGTGTGCTTTAGACCACACCATAGATATGAAAACATCAAGGCGAGCACATAATATAAAATATGAATTGTAAATAATAGCTCATTATAAAATGAAATGCTGATTATTTCCCTCGCTTACAGTATGCAGGTCCAGTTTTTAGTTTCTGAGATATTTTAATCCATATCTTCAATAAAACTCGTTATCGTTTGGTTTTCGACACTATTTTTACACTTTTCTCATCTCTAACAGGGTTTCGCGTTAAGATACAATATTGAATAATACCTATTTACAAAGAGGAAGAAATGATGAAATTTCCCCTCGCTAGCAATATGCAGGTCCGATTTTTAATTTTTGAGATATTTTAATCTATATGCAAACTTCAATTACTTCAATTACTCAATTAATACCATAAAAACACTTCAATTAGTCGACTCCAGCCGACCTTACCCGAGCGTTACACATCGCAGATCTGACGGCTCGATCTAATTCAATGGTCACTAAAAAAGTGCAACAATAGTGCGCCTAAAGAGGTTTTCCCTTTTAAAAAATCTGGCTTAGGTGTGGATATATATACACTGATTCAGTTTTACAGTAGAAATTGAATGACCCAACTTAAACAACTGGTCGGAAATAAATCAGTATTCAGAATTCATGCTCCGTTACGAGTAGCTCATACGAGTTCACAATATTTAATTATTAGATTGATGAGTGCATGGAGCTTGGTACTGATGTATGTTAGTACATATTTTATTTATTATTTACACTTTTTTCAATATTGATTGAGAAATTGATATTATATATACAAGGGCGTACGCAGCTTTTATATTGGTGGTTATTAAAATATTACATACAAAACAATGAAAATTACATCTATGTTCTATCAAGAACATATCTCTATCAACAACAAAAATGGCATGTACAACAACTCTTGGTTATAAATTAACGGATCAAAATTAATTAACATTAAATATATATATATATATATATATATATATATATATATATATATATATATATATCATCGAACTAATTTAAAATTGTTAAAATTATAAATAAATATCAACTACTTAAAATATATGTACACTAGTAATCTTATAAAATGTTGACAGCATTATAAAATCATGAAACAATATTAAAACAACTTCACTATATTCCCATTCTCTAATTGTATTCCCACCATCACCAAATAAACACATCAACAGATAACCAGCCCAAAAATCAAACAAAATCCCTCATCTAAATTATGCAAATTTTAAAATGTTGCTATACGTACAATTCAATTTCGCCAAATCATTCTGGGTATTCATTACGTTTTTGGTCCTTCCAATGTGCATCATCTCTAGAATCAACAGTTTTTGCTGATTGTTTTCCATGTCTATTATCTTGACTTTATCGAACTCAATATTATGCTTCTTCTTAATAGAATGAATAGCTAACGCCGTATCTTCTTTTTTGCTTTCAATGCTATATTTATGCGCATAAACCCTCCTAGATAGATTACTTAATTTATTACTAGTATTTTGTTATTATTCATTGTAATAAGTCTTTTGGCCAGATTTATGGTTAATTTATATGAACAATACTGTTATTCTAAAGGGACCTAGTCCCAGAATAAAGATGATTTTTCTATTCTATTCTATTCTAGATAGGTACTGTGAGGTTTGTGCGATGTACTTTTGTCACAATCTGAACATTTTAATTCATAAATAACATTTTCTAGTTTTTCTCGGCTGGTTCGATCTTTGAGTTGAGAGAAGAGGGATTTTTTAAGGCTATTTTTGTATATATTCGCAATACAGACATTGTGGCCCCGAAAAATTCTTTTTATTTTAAATGATAATGGTTTTTATGAATTCCATCGAAAAATATTTTTTTTTTATTGTTCTGCTTATTTTGATGGCGTGACAAATTGTCATATACTCCTCGCGTAGGGTAACTATTGTCTTTCAATATTTATTACGATTTTTATTTTTTTACGATAAATGTATCCCTTTCCTAAAAGATAAATTCCGTGAGACCTTCGGAGAGAGAGTTCACCGTGAGAGGCCTCTGGTTTGGGTCTTGCGGAACTATTCCAAAAAGAACAAGGAGCTTCCTCGAGGAACTAGGTGTCGACATTAAGGACGTAGCGAGGTTGGCTGAAAATATAGTCCTCGACTCCCTGGGAATCATTTACCACCACGTGCATGGCTAGCCCGAGAGTTTTAATTTATGTATTTATTTATTTATTTAATGAATAATTGAAAACAATAGAGATAAAGAGAGAGAAGTGAGAGAAAAGGAAACTAAATGTTAAAAAAAAAAGCATGAACAATGAAAGAAAGGAAAAAGGAGAAAAGAAGAAAAAAAAAATAAAAATAAAAATGTATATATATATATATATATATATCTATTTTACTAATATTAACTAATACTTCTGTATATTTATATATAAGTTCATATATTGTCCTAAGGATAGAAGAGTATGCTGTGTATATAGCAACCCAATATAATTGGGCAGCAATCCTTTATATTTTATGAAAATAAAGTGTTTCTCTCTTTTTATTTTCTTATTTAAAATAAACCGAATTAGAGCAATAGCTCTATGAAATAGGTTTTTCGCCTTATTAATTTTTATACTTAAATCGTGGCATGATTTAAAATTCGACCTCCATGATTTTTTCTTTCAAAACACGATACTCTTATATCATTCCCAGAACGGTATATTTTTGTATCTAAAAACGTAATGGAATTTAAAAAAAAAATAATAGTTTATTGAATAATTATTAAGTGGCCTTATTCCCAATTAAATAACTAATTTAATATATATATATATATATATATATATATATATATATATATATATATATATATATATGTATATATGTATGTATATTATATTCCTTGAACGGCTGGAAGAAAACAGGCGGATTGCTCTCAGTGAGTGATGCTGATAGACTCACAGGAAGTTATTCGAATGCTTTCATCATTCACAATCAGTCAGATATACTACATTATACATTTGATGTCGAGTTTATAATTATCCTCATGCTGCCCTTCTTACAAATTGAAATTAATACACTACATAACGTTTCTTCTTTAATTTTTATTTTCTAACAAACACTCAGAACTTTTCTCTATTTTTTTTGTTATGGATTATGCTTTATTGTTTACAATATTTTGATTATATATATCTTCGAATAAAATATTTTTTTTTGGCATTATTTTTTTATTTATTGAAAAATATTACAATCTGTCTCAAGGACATAATAAAATAATTAATAATATTGAAAATAAACAATATTCAACTGTGCTAATATTTTTTTGATTTTTACGATTCAGTCTTTTATATTTCACATTACCTGTTAAATCCCCTCCTCTTGTATTATAGATTGAAACAATAATTTTAATAATGTTAAGGCTTGGGAGAAAAAAATGGCAATAAGTTTTGTAGCGACTTCATATCAGACACAAGCAGGATTTGAAAATTGTTTATAATGTTCAGCCCAACGAAACTTTTTAGGAAAAAGTTTTCAAAATAAATGTTCTAAATAATCTATTGTTTTGTAATAAAGATAACTCATATTAATATATGTTCCTTTTTTTGGTTTTTTAAACTTATTTATTGAAAAATGTTACAATCTTTCTCAAGGACATTTATACTAGCGTTCTGAGATCACATTCAAACTCTATGTACAATAAATAAAATAAGTAAATATATATTCTTTAAAAAAAAAATAAAAAATAAAATAAGTTATGTTAAATGTGAATTAAATAGTAATTGGGCTTAGATTAGAGCTATAATATATTTTAAATGAATTAATGGACTCAAATACGTTTGAGTAGCTAAGAATAAAAGTCATTTTTTTATACCGACTTTTTGACCAAATCAACAAAAGAACGTTCAAGTTATTTTGATTAGTTCATTTTCTTTTTTTTTTTTTGTTAAGTTTCTTTTAGTTTACATATACTTACTTATAGAATTATTATTTTGCCGTTCATTTATTTTATTTATTGTACATAGAGTGAATGAGCTACTCTTTATCACTTATAGTTATATTACTTATAGTTAAAATTTCATTGCATACCCTGGATAAAGATATTATTATAGGGAATTAATATAATAATATATTGTCTTATATTTAGGAGTACCTAATCACTACCAATATTCGAGCTTGTTGGCATTTTAGTTTTAATGTTTATTATCGAATCTGGTAGTTATTATTAAATTGTTACTGAATAAATCAAATTTATTATTATTTTGATACGAATATTATCCATATTTATTTACCGCATTACAGGCCAACTTTGGACCGTGTGTATTACCATTGCTATTTTTTTTTCTCTTTTTTTGCCTATATTCTCCTATTTTTTCTCTCATTTCCTTCCTTTCCTCTATCCATTTCTTACTCATTTGCATATTAGTATTTTCTTTTTATTAGCAGTAACGATTTCATGCTGGTAAATCCCATTGTCTCGACCCCAGAGAGTATCATCGGTTTTATGACTGTTTCGTAATGTATAATTTTGTCTTTCCTGGAATGATTCTGGGTCTTTTTTAGTAAATTATCGGCAGTTACTTTTTTATCACTCATCTAGAACTGTTACAGATTTGTCAAATACATACAATTTAATAAGATATTACAATTGTAAAAGTATTGTTACGAAAGAAGTATTACGATAAAAGTATTGTTTCATCGAGAATGTGAAATTTGAAAAAAAAAAATAAACTTCTTAAAAGTTTAAATTTATTTAATAAAGTATTGTTAAATATTTAGAATATTTATCATTCTCAAAGTTAACCTATTTTTTGATTATCAAGATTTTTAATATAAATTTTCAATAAAACAGTTATTCTTTTATAAAATATGATTTCTAAATAATAACTGCCATTTTACTCAAAGTAACTGTTAATAAAAGTGACCTAAGTAAAAATTATTGTTGTTATACATATTTATTTGTTCATTAATTTTACAGATTCTGATTCTCAAACAAGAATAACGTGCAACAGTTCACCGAAGCCTTGCTTCCATGGCGTCGAATGCCGGGACACGGCAGATGGTGTAAGATGTGGCCGCTGCCCACTAGGGTACGTGGGTAACGGCATGACCTGCAAACCAGGGATTACCTGTGAACAGAAACCCTGTTTCCAAGGTATAACCAATGAATTCATTATTTTAAACAATTCTATTAATATGTTCTTTTAGGGGTGCCCATCCCCCCACTCAAGAATGATAGCGCAAACTCCTCCCCTCTCCATCAGGAAAATTTATTACTCCCCTTAAGAACGTTACAAGAGAAAATTTTTATTACCACACAAAAAATTTCCTTCAGAAATTCACATTCAATCCCGCAAAAATGTGCACCCTCCCTCAAAAAATTCCATAGCCATATAAAAATAAAACACTCTCAAATATTTTAAAGGTACAACTTACGCCGTTCCAACCGTTCCAATAATATGCAACCCTGTGTTGTTTAACCGATTGCTAAGACAGGACAACACAAAACAAGGTTATTTTGGTTAATAATTAATTTAGTTTAATTTTAAGAAGCGGTTTCCTAACTTAAAAAAAAAAAAAAAAAAAAAAGGAGTACTGAAGACTACAATTGAAATAGTAATAATAAGGTTTTGATTTAACTAGAGACCGTATTTTCGTGCAGTGAAAATAAGGAAAACGTGCAGTAAATACCTCAAAATGTGTAAAATCGTGCAGTAAAAATCCAAAATACGTAAAATTGTGTAATTAACACCTATAAACGTGTATAATCATCAATATTATTTAATTTATAACTTAAATACATCGAAATCTTATCAGATTTCAGTTAACCGAGTTTTTTAGAAAAAATAATTGGGAGTTAAATTGAAAATGAAATTCCAGATTATAATCAACTATTATAATAACGATTATTATCAAATAATGCAGAACATTGAAGGATTGAAGGAATAAATGAAGGCAGGAATTATAGGTATCTATGTATTATATAGACCAGACAAATTTTGAATATTTAACTTTTATTGAAAATAATAATGAAAAAATTTTTTTTAGTAGTGCTACCCCTTAGAATAATAGTAGAGTTAAAAAAAAAATATGTACATTAGTCTGGCATGTAGATATCATACAAATATATACAAAAAATACTTATGAAAATATCTTTGTACCTCAACAATCTATGAATGGTCATGGATTTAGTACTTTATAAGTAAATACTGTTTAGTAAAGGATTGTGCAAGGGGATGATTTGATCTGTATCACGCTCAACCAATAGGTTGTTCGTCTTAATTAATTATTTAATGAAGAGTATCCACTTAATTAACCGAATAAATTACTACCTGTCATTGCCGGATTCGAACCTGGAATCCGTAGCATTGGAGAACACGGCGCCTTGCTCACTAAGCTACCCTATATTTTTATACTTAATTAAATAACAAATGTTAAAATATTTTGCGCCGTAACGTAAACATTATTTTTAATGTCGAATATCGAAATAGGTCGAAATGAACCCGATATGGTTCCCACCCACGATGATAACCATCCCTTGTATTTTTTGAATTATTGACACAATAACTACGAATAAGAATAGTTACGAAACTAGGGATTAAAGATCGGGAGTGGAAAATTTTAGATATTTGGTAAGATACGACTAGAAGTGAAAAGGAGCAATTGTGTACATACAGGACATGTAGCACATATTTAGCATAGCGAGCAAAATCCGACAGTTAAGATCAATAAAACATTAATGATTTTAATAATCCCAATTAAACCTCAAATTATTGATAGTAGTTGACCATATGTTCAAGTCGTGTGTGTAACAAGATGTGTTTTTGTGGTTATTTAAGTTTTTTAACACCGCCATATAAATTGTCATAAATATGCTCAAACTCGGAAATGTTCAGAATTTTATCTACAGCTATATCACGTGAGATTGTGAATAGCCAACTTGCCGGCTGCGTAAGTGTAAAAGATATTTCAAGATTCAGATATTTACTATATTTCCAAAAATAGAACCCGGACATGGCTCAGGGCATAACAGTTCATCCCACAATCCATTCCGTTTGATCTTTTCCATCTGTTTTTTTTTTTTTTTATTGCTTTCATCTGTTTTCTAGTAGTCTTCCTATTTTGATAGTTGAATTATATCTTTGTTTAGACTACAGAAATAATATTAAGTAATACATTTCACGCCAATTCGGTAATTATCAAAATCGTCTATTATATTTGCTAGGTGTGAGATGCTATGACACCGTTGAAGGATTCCAATGCGGTCCTTGTCCTGTTGGTTATTCAGGCAATGGGCAATGGTGCAAACCGAAGTCAGGCTGTGATACTTCTCCATGTTCCCCAGGTAAGTCTTAGTAATACATTTTTATTAATTTATTAGATATTAGATGATTTTTAGATTAAATAATTAAAAAATAATTGGTTTATAATGAATGCCCAATCGTTACTATAAACTTGTTTTTTTTTTCAGGTGTTCAATGTCAGAATACCTACGAACCTCCATTTTATAGGTGTGGCATGTGCCCAACTGGGTTTTCAGGGAATGGTACTAACTGCCATGATTTAGATGAGGTAATAAATTGTGTTATGAAATTATTTTAAAATGCTTTAATAATTGGGTATTGGGAGGTAAGAACGGCCAAGCGGGCTAATGCGCTTGTAATAGGTAATCGAAGTTAAGCAAAATCGGAACGCCACGATTCATTTTTCTGGACCGTTGGAAAATAAATATTGGCTGAATACAGGTGGGAGTCAAACCCACTCCGTTACGAACCGGACACTCTGGGTCTCTCGTCCTAACATGCTTGGCCTCGAAGCCTCAGTTTTAGAAATTATCTTCAGTCATGCTAGTCTACTATTTTTTTAAATATATAAGATGCCAGAAAATGAGTAAAAAACATACGTAACATCGATTCCAAGTATAAATTTATATAAACCAAAGACAAAATTATCTTAGTTGCTGTAAAAATGACCTGATTCATCGTTTATAGCCACTGTGACCAGAACTTTCGTCACGACCTCATTTATCTTTAAGAAGGAATGATGAACTTGGGAGCTTCTCTTTAAGCTACTTCTTAGCGTTTGTCTAAGACGACTTCAGTACGAATCTGTGACTACAGTGTATTCCTCATGAGGACAAAATAGCGGTGCCCATCCATCTTAGGTCAATGGCGCATCTCCTCCCCCCCCCCCCAAGATATTGGGATATTGCTCAACTCTTCTTAAAATCAGTGGAAGCGAAATTAGAATTAGACAAATCGTACATTATATACAATTACAGTTCCTGCATTCTATTCCATGCTTCCTCGTCTTTTGGTTTGAATCTTTTCATTCGGAAAATTCATATACCCGTCAAAATGTGCCCCCCATCAAAAATTTTAATAGAGCAACTTGCGCCATGAAACCCACTTACATGTCTTCCTTCGTACATAATAATGATAAGATGTAAACACGTGGTGATTCAATGGAAATACATCTTACTGCTTGTTTTGGATCTTTTCATGGATTTTCCAAACATTGGCGACATGGTAGTACACACATGAAATGGGATGTATTAATCTCCTAATCATATTTTATTCTTTGTCAAGAAATATTCCTACACTAAATCATTTAGTAGAAACTTTTGACGAATATATGGTCAACTTCATTTTGATTTCTATACTGAGGGCTCACAACGTCATCAATACCAAAAGATTAACTACAGTCGAAAGAAACCCAAACGTTTCTGTCATCCTTTCTCTTTGTAGACCATTCTTCAGAAAAATACAGTTTTTAAATCCATTGAAGGTGCTTCGTCCAACTAGATTGGTCAGAAGAAACTGTGTATCTTAAAAAAACAATTGGTAGCCAAAACAGTTTTTACTTTCAGATATCAGGGCAGCTAGTGTTGGTAGTATATAATATATACTATATATATTTAGATGTTTCAAAATTGATTTTAGGTTTGTTTTTATAAATTAAATATTAAAAGAAAGGATTTTTTTTTAATTTTGCATATTTTATTTAATTCTCATTCTACACATTTGGAAAAAAAAAATGGTTCCTGAAAATTCGGATTCCTGATTGATTGATTGGCATGGGATGAACTAACAGTAGTATTGTTAACTCTGAGCAATAAATACAGTGCATTTGAGTGTAATATGTCATTATAGATATAATTAAATAGGCTTATAGAGATTTTTAGAATATTAATTTTTTAATATTGGCCTTTAATTGCAGTGTGATCTTGTCGAGCCATGCGATCCAAGAGTTCATTGTACAAACTTAAGTCCTGGATATCGGTGTGGTCCATGTCCAGTTGGATTTACCGGTTCTTCGGGACTAGAAGGCGTAGGTTTAGAAGCCGCTGCAAGAAACCGGCAACGTTGTTATGATATTGATGAATGCGCTGATGGTAGAAATGGTGGATGCGTCCCAAACTCGATATGCCATAATACTGAAGTAAGTAACATTATTCATTCTACCAAAGTATTTTAATAAGAATAGATTAATCCGTATTGAATTAGTATGTAAACAACTCATCCATACATAGCTTAGCTAATTTGCTACATTTAAATATTTTTCAAAATAAGTTAAAAAAAAAAAACCCACATCATGTGTTCTCAATATTCTGTGGCATTAAGACTTTAACATATTCATGTTATCAACATATTTGTTATTCAACTTTTACATTTATAGTTCATCCTGTTGCATTGATTAGGTAACGGCTTAGTTTATTTAACTAAAAACGATTCCTATGATGCAATATGATAAATTCAATCTGTTAGATATTGATACCGTTTGATATAAAGCCATCACCCTTTATTTTAATCTGTTTTTAAATACGCATTATATGATCCAAGTAAAAAAAAAATTTACTTAAATAAAGCTTTCCTGTATTTTCCCAATACACATAAATTACATCACAGATATGTCTGTTGAACTGATGAATCTGTTAAAAGATTTTAATGGCCATTTCAGCCGTTAGGCTACAATCAGAATTGGTAAACAACACAGCCCTTGGTAATCCAACCGTCTTATCCAACCCTAGAATAAAATGATCTATTATCTTAGAATTCTATCCACTAGCGGATCCAGGATTTAATTTTTTTGGGGGGAGGGCTTCAGCCCGAAAGCTTTTTTTTCATAAAAATAACGATATTTACTTCGGAAAAAAAGAAAGAAACTAACTACTTATATGAAATGGTGTTTAAGTGATTCCTTAAGTCCTTTTAAATGTAATTACACGAACAATAATACTTTAAGAGATATTTTTTTCCCAAAACACATTGTTATATTTTACCATTTTGGGGGGGGGGGGGGTTCCAGCTCCAAAGCCCCCTCCCCTAGATTCGTCCGTGATTCTATCCAAAACGAAATCAAATACGGTACATGCAAGCTCATCTCTGGTGTCCTCAGATCCCAAGCAGGCTTTCTCGGCCAGAGGAAACTACCACCAAAAGCTTTAATTCATGAAGCCAATTCTACAACTACGGGCTGTCCTGTTCCTAACTTGAAGGTTTCTGGCATTTGCAAGAAAGTGCTACCATATGAACCTCCGGAGTTGCGTTCATCTACTTTAGTAATAAGTAGTATTTGCTTTCTCAGAATTTTTAATACTACTTCAAGTTTCCCTTTTCAATAAAGAGAACTGTATCTTACAAAGTTATCCTATAAAAAATTAATTCAAAACTTTATGCTGAATCCATTTCCCCTGTGACACTTATAACAATATGGTACTCACAAAAGAATCCGCTGATGGTTTCATAAATATCGCTTGAATTATCACAGTTAATATCTACGTGTTTTCAGTATTTTTCAAAGAGAGATTGAAGATTTATTGGCACACGTTTAGTATGAAGAATAAACTGATCTAATCAAAAAGCATTTGTGATTATAGATGTATGTGTTGTTAAAGATGTTATCTTATTTTAAAGAAGCCTTAATCTAAAATATGCTATAGGGTTCATTCACATGTGGGAACTGCAAAAATGGATTCGTCGGGAACCAAACTGTTGGGTGCCACAGCTCACCTGGTCTATGTCCGGATGGAACCCGTTGCGACCCGAATTCGGAATGTATCAGAACAACATATGACCGGTACACATGTAAGGTAAGCATACATAAATTCTTAACTAACTACATATAATTTTTCATAAAGAACTTTCAAATTTTAAATATAACGAAAGTATTCACCAGTAAATGTACTTGAATAATATTATTCCAAGTATCGTTCGGTTGTTTGTTTCCTCTATCTGTTGGGCTGTTAGTAAAATAACTGTAGTATAAAACATTACTTTCAATTTGTCCAATTTGGACCTTTATTCAATAATATATTTTCACGCCTTCAATCAGGAGGCTCATTTTGACTAGTTTTTGATTTATTGAGGGGGGCACATTTCGACGGGGCTATGAATTTTCGGAATTAGAAGTTTCAAAACTAGGAGAGAAACATGTACAGACCACAGCTAGTGGGCGAATTTCACACTCATAGTATTGAATAGACTATGAAAAAGCTAATATTCTTAAGAGAGATTTTTTTTTTTATGGTTTTATTGAGTATTAATACAGTCTGCCACACTGAAGGACATTAATACTTTCGTTATAGTATTAATTCGCACAATATGTACATATTGTGTGAATTAATATTATAGTTAAAGGGCCAATGCCTTTCAGGGTGGCAGACTGTATTTTTTTTTTTTATTTATTTTTTTTTTATTGAAAATATTACTATCTCTCTCAAAGGTCATTAATAATAGTGTTCAGAAATCACATTCCCGCTCTATGTACAATAATAATAATCTATATACAATAAATAAGTATGAAATAATCTAAAAAATAAATAAATAAAAACAACACAAACATACCTTTATAGACTTTATTAATACTCAATAAAACACTTAAAAAAAAAAAAAAAATCTCTTTTAAGAATATTAGCTTTTTCATAGTCTATTCAATACTATGAGTGTGAAATTCGCCCACTTGCTCTGGTCTGTACCATGTTTCTCTCCTAGTTTTGAAACTTTTAAATCCGAAAATTCATAGTCCCGTCGAAATTTTCCCCCCTTAATAATTCAAAACCTTGTCAAAATGAACCTCCTGATTGAATAGTTGTATTATTTATGAATCCGTGCAATGAGACAATTATAAGGAAAAAATTAATTCAGTTTCGCCTCACGATTTGTCAAAACTTTTTTAATCACTTATATCATGGGTTGAATATGAATCATTCACAAGAGATATTGTTTTCTTTTTAGTGCAAAGTAGGATGGGCCGGAGATGGAAAGCACTGTGCTTCTGATCGAGATTTAGACGGCTGGCCGGATTACGATTTAAGATGTTCGAGTCCACGATGCAGAAAGGTGAGTAAGGCTTAAACACTACAAAAGGAATATATTTTAATGCTAGGTTGAGCTTGTATCTTTATTTTCGAAAGTCAGATACGATAAGAGTAACTCATTCCAAAGGTATATTTTATTTATATCTAATGCATATTGATTGTACGACTCGTTTATTATTTTATTTTATATCTCCCTTTATTGATATTATGCACTATTTTAGATCTTATCTAATACACATTGATATCAATTATAATAGTGTAAGTGAAAGTTATGTTAATATATATATTTAGATTTGTAATACGTTTTAACCTTATTTATTTTTTATATCTGTACATTTCTATAGTTAAACATTCACTTTCTTTCTATTATTACACATTTTTGTAGCTTCAACCTCAATGTATATTATGTAAGTTTAAATCAGCACATTTTCTTATGCTATTAAATATTTAATTATTTGTATCAATTAATTACATATATCAATAATAACGAGCATGAGAAGTGAATATAACGGCTTTAAAATTAATAAAAGCAATGTTTATTTGCAACTCCTCATTCAACAACAGATCTGCAGAATCTCATTTAAGAAACTGTATCTAGTTAGCAGGTGCTGAATTACTTGATGTTATTCAAAGTTATTAATGTCAGAGTATGAAAATAAGTAGAATAATCAATGATTTTACAAATAAATATATATTTTTTCTTGAGTGAAAGAAGTTAACTATCAACAAAAGTTTAATACACGCATTGGTTGAAATAAAAAAAAAATCAATAAAACATTTCTTTCGTATATATATTTTTTTTATATAATTGTCTAAGTATAATTTCAATACCACTGTAATTAATTTTATCAAATATATTTGCCAAATTATAACTATATATATATATATATATATATATATATATATATATATATATATATATTTTTTTTTTTTTTTTTTTAAATGTATTACTTCAATCCATGGAGGGAATTGTGTTCACTACTTGGTAAGGAAGTACTGTTTATGGTCAACGGTTGTGCAAGGAGGTGATTTGACCGAGAGATCACACTCAACCGCCAGGTTTTCCTTCTTAATTAATTATTTAATTAATGGTACCCACTTTTTAGAGGCTGGGTGTGCCCCAGGAGGGTCTCTATTAGCCAGATTCGAACCTGGAACCTTGAGTATTGGAAGTCAGTGCCCTACCACTGAACTACCCCGCTCTCAAATAAACATTTAAATGTATAACTTAAGAATTCTAATTCAGCATAAGTTTTCATATATATTCATATTATTTAATTATTTATTTTAGTCCAAACTGTTAAATTAATTTTTTGAATTCAGTTTTTTGTTTTTAGTACCATTTTAAGCCATTGAAGCATTTATGGAGTCATCTGCCAATTTAATTGTGGCGGTATATTCCCTCATACTTTCAAGAATTTAGTTTTATGATATTTTAGTGAACTTATATTTTCATTACTGAACTTTGATTCGACAGAAATGTCGTAGCTGCCATTCCCGTGTGTTGAGATCTTCCAGCTAAGGAGTGGTTCATATAAAATTGTTCAAACTTTTCTCACACAATCGATATTAAATTTGTTGTCATCTGAAAATATTGCATCGTTCCGGTTTTTTTTTATGTTAAACTATTTGGTAAAAGCAGGTCTATTTTTCTTAGTCATTAAATTTATGAGAGATCTTGCCCATTCATCCTGGCTATACTCCATATTGTTTCAATATTCCTCGAAATGAATTGGGTCCAGATTGTTTTTCTAATAGTTATCATTTATTTCTGTTTTTATTTTCGTAGACGTTACACTCTACAAGCTAGTGGACGAAAATGGGTACGAAACAAACATTCAAAGTTCCTAGGATAATAATCTTTAGCCCAATGCTCTCCAAACACGTGAATGGTTGCTATTTATTTATCTAAATGAACAACAAACTCATATTCAGAGTCCAAATTTAAATTCCAACGAATATTTATGGTGATATGATTTAACCACTAATCATATTGCTGATGCTACAAACAAAAGGAAAGAAAATGTAGCTGAAAAGGTACAAGCGAATAAACTACTATTTGGAAAAATCTTGTCTTATCGGTTGTTTGGTTTTATTGTTTAGAGATTGTAAACCTATTACTTCCTGTCCTATAGTATCCTTCAACAATAGCCCAGTTATCCCTGTTGAACGAATCCAATACCTAGGACTCCACCTCGACAAACGACTCACTTGGAACCCCCATACCCCAGACTGAAACGACTAAAAACCGCCCTACATTTTCGACTACTGCAGCACTTACTAGACAAACGCTCTAAACTTCCAACTATTTACAAAAGACTCATATATATTACTATTATAAGAACTATTTGGACTTACCGGATCGAGCTTTGGGGCTCTACTAAACCATCAAATTCCTCTCGTATCCAATCCCTACAATCCAAAATCCTTCGTAAAATCCTCAATGCTCCCTACTTTGTCACTAATAAAATCATCCATAACGACCTTAATGTACCATATGTTTCCGATTTAGCTCAATCCAGATACCTATGCTTCCATAATAAACTTCTGAACCATCCAAACCCTCTTGTTTCCAACGTTGCTTCCTCTTCTATTCCTGATAACCCTCCGAGGCGTCTGAAAAGAAGATGGCCTCGGGACCTTCTAATGTAGAAATATAATTGGAGTGCTACCAATGGGTAGTTTCTCTTCATGTTGTACATGTCAAGTTACTTACTTCATATTTACTAGTTGTATTTATCATTAAACAGTTGTAAATTTCAATAATAATAAAAAATTGTTTAGAGACGTTGAAATAACTGGTAATCAATCCCTATTGTTTTCTAGGCAGTAGGGACTGACTGACTGTAGGTACTGTTTTATAATATGGAATCGAGAAAGCAGGTAAACCTGTAGGGATGGTTGCCTATACCTGTGCAACCCCTACTGTACCTTAACGATCCATAAAGCACTACCTACCTGAAAAACGTGGTAGCTTCAATATATCTTCACTCAAGCTAAAATCATCGACTTTTTTGCTCCAAAATTGTAACGGAACCAGTAGATTTGTTGATTTTGAGGAAGATACATTTTTTTTTCACTATCTGCATGCATATAAAGCTTCCCAACATTGCTAGCGAGGAAGCGAAACACAGTGCTGGGTTTACTCACTAAACAAATGCCACGGAGCCACAAGCGGATCCAGGATTTAATTTTGGGGGCGGAAGCTTCAGCCCGGAAGATTTTTTTTCATATGCATATAACGATAATTAATTTGAAAAAAAAAGAAAGAAATTGACTACCTACATGAAATGGTGTTTAAGTGGTTCCTGAAGTCCTATTAAATGTAATTACAGGAACAAGAATACTTTAAGAGATAGTTTTTAATATTTTTTTCTGTAAAACATGGTTATATTTTACCATTTTGGGAGAGGGCTTCAGCCCGAAAGACCCCCCCACCCGTAGATCCGCCTGTGCCCGGAGCGCACTATCATAAAATAAAATAATCATGAAAATCATGAAGGGCAGGAAAAGTCTTCCTTTAAACTTCTACGATATATTGATTTACGGAAATTTTATTTATGGCGTTACGATTTTACACAAAATCCTATTTTGTTACGTAATTATTATGAAGATATATGATGATATATATATATATATATATATATATATATATATATATATATATATATATATATATATATATATATATATATATATATATATATCTGATCGTATGCCTGAAAGAATGCAAGAGGAACGGTAAGGAGTACTCCCCGAATCATCCATCATTTAAGGAAAAGTTTTTATTTTTCTAGTTAGACAACTTTAATTATGTTTTTTTCTTCGTAAAAGGTAAGCTGTATAACACGTTGTTTTTTTGTCTTTATATTTTTAATTCAATTTCTAAAGGCCATAGTTTTTCTATTTTAGTAATTTAATCATTCACCTTTTGACAGAGAGAGAGAATACTGTATTTAAAGCAGTGCCTCCCTACTATATAGGGTTGCTCGATCACACATTTATATATGTATATACAAATTGTTTTTCATATCACACAGCATAAACAATATCAATAATATAATATACCAATACACACAATTACAATTATACAATATATATATATTTCGGTAAAGCCGATACAAGACAATTTATGAGATTTATAAGAAAAAATTATAATAATAATAATAAATAATTATAAAATAAACTAACAATAATAAATAAAATAGAATACAATATAATTTTACCCCGGGACAAAAACCTCTTTAGAATAACAAAAATTTAAAGAAAAACAAAGATTATTTTTGTCCGAAAGACATGTTACATTGAATAAATAAAAAAATGATCAAGTTATCAATATTCAATACTGTGTACATGAAATTTAAAGAATGGTAAAATAATATCTTCGCTACTAAGATAAAAAAAATATTCTAGAGGGTAAGCCAAAAGTCTTAAATACAAGAAATAATAATATTAATATATTGTTTTAAAAAGTTATTTGTGTTATGAAGAGAAGAATAGTTGGGGTGGTCAGTCAAAAAATAAGGCAAAAATAATGATAACATTTATTTTTACATATGCCGACGTTTCGACCTGAAGTTCAGGTCTTCATTAGGGCTAAGAAAATAACCAGATAACAAGGTATGAGAAACATAAGTAGTGATGGTAAAAAAAAAAATATATATATATATATAAATAAAAAAAAAATAAAGTAAAATGAAATTGTTAGAATAATGACAATAGTAAGAACTAAGAGATAAGTAATAATAACCGTTACAAAGTGTGGAATGATGAAGTAAGCATAATCAAAAAGGGTGACATAAGTGTTAAAATGGGAATCTTAGAATAAAATGTGAAACATAAAAAAAAAATATGAAGTTATATAAGAAATGAAAATAAATAGTAAAATCAAGACATTGAGAATGGAATAGTTAGATAGAAAATTGAGATATTGTAAAGTCTTTCAAGATGTACAGACAATGTATAATATAATAAAGAGTTAAAAACAGAGAAACGGAATGAAAGAAAGGAGGGAAGAAAACT